GTAGGGACAGCCTGTAGTGTGTGTGTGAGGCAGGGAATGCCTGTAGTGTGTGTGTGAGGCAGGGAATGCCTGTAGTGTGTGTGTGAGGCAGGGAATGCCTGTAGTGTGTGTGTGAGGCAGGGACTGCATGAGGGATACATCCGCATCACACGCTCTTCCTTTACCTGCCTGTCTGCAGGCTGCCCAGGCTGAAATGCACACAGTTGAGGCAGTGGTTGACGGAGGGCCCATCGCAGCCGCTCTCCCCACACTCCGGGTGGCAGGGTCCTAGGGCAGGCCACACACTGGTCAGCAGGGCCCTAGGGCAGGCCGCACACAGGTCAGCGGGGCCCTAGGGCAGGCCGCACACAGGTCAGCGGGGCCCTAGGGCAGGCCGCACACAGGTCAGCGGGGCCCTAGGGCAGGCCACACACAGGGCAGCAGGCTCCGGTTCCGGGAAGGTGTCGCTCATCATTTTCTTAGCCTCGACGGTTACCGTCATACTCATCCTCCCCTTCGTTCCCCCCCTGCTGCTCTGGGATGGGTGTCTCCGGTATGGCTTGGAGTGAGGATATGGAGCGGTAAGGGTGCTCTGAGGTTCCAAAAAGGATCAGTGTCCATTCCATCAGTTTACCTGGCAGGAGGAAAGGAGGTCAGGTTTCCTTCAAATGAAACTTCTCCAACAGTTAGCAACAATTTGAATGTCTATATATCCTGTCAAAGAATAAAAAATGTACAATCCACTCTTCTCAAGGCTTCACATGAAATAACTTAACATCAACAAGCACTGTAGATAATTCACAAAATCAGTGGTAGATTTAATTATGCCGCGATTTAATGTGGTTCTGCTCATGAGGTCAGCAATGGCCATCTGCATTTACTCAGACGCATTTGGTAATAATACTGGAAACTATGTCACATCTTCCAGCAGGCAGAGCAGGCTCCTTTACCCAGACTCTTTGTGGTACGCTGCTGTGAAGGTGAGTCTCTGATTTCCAGTGTCCACAGACCCTCTGCCTTCTCCCCCCAGCAGTGGACTGTCATGAACTCCCAGTTCCTGAAGCCATTTTTGGACCAGTCTTGTTGCCTGCAGGTTTGGACACATTCACAGGGACAGGTAATGTTTAGGATCTGCGGAATGCCAAACCGGCCCTTTCACACTCTCTGATTCACTCAAATATGCAAATAAAGATTGTCCCCCCCCCCCCCAAATGACATTTAAAGAGTTTTGTTTTCTGTTTGCAAACAGCTGGAGGTATGAAGAAACCATTGCTCTGAACTCACACCCTGCTAAAAAAGACAATCACGTCTGTAATAACATTTTCAGGAACCAGGCCCTTGCCGAAAATTAGCACTCGTGGTGACCTGTCACACAGTCCCTACAGTAGTACACACTGCCAGTCTTTCCTTTATAGAATATTGTCCCATTCTGGAAAAAGATTAACCTATAAATCTAGTTTGTGGTCACAGTGGCAGTGAATGGGCTCTGTGAGTTTCTCATTACTGCTCCCCTGTCGCTAATTCACATCCAGCACTGCCTGCAGACACCTGCTGCTGACCCTAACCCTTCCTCAGCTCCATCCGACCCTGCAAACTGCACAGATGTCGGGGAGACATCAGGCTCCATGGATGGTGACTCAGGAGCCTAGTGAACTTAATATGAGATTTAAACTTCTTTTTTGTTCTCTAGTAGCCCCTGTCTGTAAGCTTCCCCTAATAAAAATGAAATAACCTGAAATTATTTTATCCCAAAACAAAAAAATCCTTCTTTCTTTTATTCATGAAAACGAACGGTTTTGTTCCTTAAAGCTGGGGCCATATCAGCCTGCAGTCCTTCCAGTCTGAGGATTGTGAGCTGTGGACTTGTACACACGTGCTCTCAGAGAAACATAAGCTAGTGGTCTAAATGTTATATTTTATATAGGTTCTGGTTCTGTTTATGATGGAAGTACTACCTGGTAGATCTGGTCTTAGTTCTTATTACAGGGGACATTCTGTATCCAGGGAGTCTGGAGATGGAGAAATCTGAGGGCGCTTTTCCACCGCACAAAGTACGGTACTTTCGGTATTGTACTTTCGCTTTTCCATTGACTTCCGGTCGAGTACCAGTACCTAAAGTTCCAGTACCGAAAGTGCCAAACCAGCTGGGGTACTTCTTTAGTACTTCGGTGGGACTTGCAAAAGTATTTGCTGTTGATTGGTTATGCAAATAGCCTGCCGCTGAAACATAAAATACAACCACCATCTTTTGAAACACACAGCAAACAGCGAGAAACAAAA